TGCGGCCTGAGAATTAAATTGACAAACAAATTAACAGGAGAAAAGGTTTTTTGCTCAGGCATACAGGAGCCAACAAAGGAAGTAGCTGGCTCCTTAAACGGTTAGAGTTAAAGGTTTATATTCCTGACTTAGTAGGGGAAAGGGAGAGGGAGGTTTCGGGCTTCCAGGGGCAGTAAAGTGTGGTAAATTAAATATATATGGGAAACTAATGGAAGATAAAGCTTATTTAGTAAGGTTTGTCATGCAGATTAAGTAGTGAAAAGGTGATAAGAATTTTCTCCAAGTTTTTCTCCTCTTCCTGGTGAGGGGGTTGGGGGACACCTTCACAGATGGAAATTTCGTTTACAAAAGGGAAATTAATGCCCTTCTTCAGGCCAAAAGGAGGATGACAAAGAAGTCCTGTGTCTTCTGTTAATTGCCTTCCTCTCAAAATAATCCTTATGCCACAGTGTCATATTTTGGGGTGGCATTTTCTGATTCCCTTTGTATGTAATTGAATGCCAGGCTCTATATTAACAGATAGGCCCCATAAGGGCAGCAAGGACTGACTTGTCCACTGCTGTGTCCTCAGCGCCTGGAACAGTGCCTGGTGTAGGACACTGGTAAATCTCATGTACTGGGCTGCCCCAGATCCTACTGGGAGTAGCATAACATTCGAATAAGATGCTTGCTCTGGGAAAGGGACCTGGGAGGGTAGAAAGAGGCCAGTAGCCTCTGCAGCATCTTTAATCAGGAAGGGAAAACCAAAGCCGCAGGAGAAAATGGCCCTCTTAAACCAGGTCACAAGGGGCCTGAGTGAGCCCTGTCCAAGAAGTCGGGTGTAGGATAAGTCACTAGGCTTGGCAGCAGTTCCTGGTCTGCACTGGTGTCACTGGTCAGGATCTGTGGGTAGAGAAGGGCTGGCTGCTCCCTGGGGCATCTCCCACCCAGGCTCCTCCCCTCCCTGGAGCTTCTGTCCCCTGAGGGTCAGTGAATTGCCTGAGAAGGGAGGCAGACCCCTGTAGCCACTCTAGCCCATACTCAAAAGCGCCCAGCATCTCTCCTTAGTGTAACATAAGCCTCTCATCCTGAACCTCTGACTCAGTGGTTTCCAAACCTGGTAGAGGAGCAGAATTTACCTGGGAGCTTTTTAAAAAAGGAAGAGAAACAAACATAGAGAAAAGTGCAAATGTGTGTAGAGTGTGATGAATTTTCCAAGTGACCGAACTGGGTAATTCCCAGGTCAAGAAACAGAATAGCACCTTGTGCCATCTACCAGTCACTACCCCCAGCGCAGTCCCCCAGCAGGACACTTCTCCTAGAGTTTCTGCTTCATAAAATGGACGAGAGGCCCAGTGTCTACTTTGCACAGCTGCACAGGTGGTTTATAAGCATAGCTAGGTTTGGAAACCACTCCTGGAAGTCATATAATCCCTTTTGTTTTATGTGGAACGAGTGGATGCTTTGCTCCCCATCTTAGGCTCAGCACCAGTAGCTGTCTGGCTGGGTTCACCCACAGAGCAGTGGCAATGTCCTGTATCTGGGGTCTGCAGAGTATGTGGGTGGCAGCTCCTGGGCTCAGGAAGCCCAGTTGGTTGGTTCCAGCCTGGGCATGTGGCCCTCCCTCCCCGGCAGGAGTTGCATGAAGAGGTATTTTTGGAAGGTGCAGGAATTCTGTAGCCATGTGGAAAATGCCTGCTCATAGGCTGGGCTGGATTCTCGTTTCAAAATGATGATGTGGCTCAGGGGCCTGACCTGGCCAGTTTTTCTGGATCTAGGGGTGGGGAAAGTGAGGAGGCATGCTCATTTTTTCTTTCCTTTTCTTTAAATTATATCACCGTTTTCTTTTTGTTTCAAATCCCTCGATCCCACAAGCTTCAAGAGAATTGTGAGGTGTCTCCGCAGCTCACTGGCTCTTTGATGCTCTTTGCAGGTAAGTGTTTCATCTTGTCCAGAGTCAGCTAGGGCTTTTGGGTCACTTTAAGTCCAGTGAGAGTTTAACCCTCAATTCTCCATCAAGGATCTTTGGCTCTGGAGCCCTCACCTGGAGTCTCCCTGCCCTTCCAGGTGGGACCCTGAGAGCCCTCCTATTCTCTTCCCTGTGTCCCTCTCTGCTTTGCCCTGGTGGCCTTCATTGATAGCTGCAGCTTTTGCTAATCATCTATCCGTTCATTCACCCATCCATCATTCATTCAGTGCCAGGCCCTGTGCTGGGGACAGGATGGAGGGTCAGGCAGACAAACCATCTTCTGTCATCACCATTTCTGCCCTTCCCCCTGAGAACTCCCTTTGTCCCCACTTCTCCACTTCCTCCCACAGCCACATCTCTGCTCTCAGAAAGATCTCTGCTCTTTCACTTTCACTGCAAAGGTAGCCTGTCCTCTCCATTTTGGGTGTCCAAACCCATTGCTCCTGACCCGCGTTTCCAGCTCAGTTGGGCTGGGACAGAGAATAAAGAAGTAGGACCTGGCACGATTCTCTCCCCCAATTTTCCATTTCTCAGGGCCTCCCCATCCCTTCCACCTCTCGCCTCTGCCACCATCCTCTCTCCATGCCAGATCCTGGAATGGAAATGCCATCAAGGGAGATCTTTCATCCTTCCAACAACCAAAACAAAGCCAACAACCCCCCACAATAAAAGTGCCACAATAAAACTGCCTCTTTAGTTCTCCTCAAAGCCTGAAAAGTCCTAGGTGTGTTGCACAGAGACTTTCCTTCCAGGACGTGAGGTTACTGTAGCGAGGAGTCCTCATCTACCCTTGGCTAGCCTTCTTCCTGGGAGATGAATCCCCAAGGCAGAAGCTGTGCAAAGCCTGGCCTAGAGGGCAAGGGCTTCCGGGCTCTCGCTGGAGTGTCAGCAAGTGCTTGCCTATTTCCTCTCTTTTCTTGGGCCTGCCTAGGCTGTTTGGAAGAAACAAGCTCTGAGTTCTTGGATTTGCCTATTGGTCAGTGAGTGAAGCTGTCTATGCCCTCAGGTGAGGTTATCTGAGTCTGAGCTGATCACCTGCAAGAGGTAAGGCTGAGGAGGGAAATAGATCCAGATGTTCAGATCTGAATGTGTACTCAATATGAGCCTTACTAAATCATACAGAGAAATATAAATGTCACGTGAACCAGATGTTCATAAAGGCTTGAACAGTGAGTTTTTCAGGAGAGAGTTCTTTTCTAAAAAAAAAAAGATAGGGGCCGGCCCAGTGGCACAGTGGTTAAGTGCACACGCTCCGCTTTGGCGGCCCCAGGGTTTGCAGGCTCGGATCCAGGGCGCGCACTGATGCACTGCTTGTCAAGCCATGCTGTGGCAGTGTCCCATATAAAGTAGAGGAAGATGCGGGCCGGCCCCGTGGCTTAGTGGTTAAGTGCGCGTGCTCCGCTGCTGGTGGCCCGGGTTCGGATCCCTGGCGCGCACCGATGCACCGCTTCTCCGGCCATGCTGAGGCCGTGTCCCACATACAGCAACTAGAAGGATGTACAACTATGACATATAACTATCTGCTGGGGCTTTGGGGAAAAAAAGGAGGGGGTTGGCAATAGACGTTAGCTCAGAGCCAGTCTTCCTCAGCAAAAAGAGGAGGATTGGCATGGATGTTAGCTCAGGGCCGATCTTCCTCACAAAATAAATAAATAAATAAATAAATAAAGTAGAGGAAGATGGGCACAGATGTTAGCCCAGGGCCAATCTTCCTCAGCAAAAAGAGGAGGATTGGCATCGGATGTTAGCTCAGGGCTGATCTTCCTCAAAAAAAAAAAAAAAAAGAATTTATTCATTTTGAATAGGTAATCCAAGAACAGGGCACAAAATTTCAAAAAGTGCAGAGTACATAGTGAAAAATGTCTCTTTCCCACTCCTGTGTCTAAGTTTTTCCCTCCTAGATGCAACCACTGTTTCCAATTTACCATGCATCCTTCTTGAGATTGTCTCTGAAAATCACAAGCATGTGTGTTTGTGTGTGTGCGTGTGTACTTAAAAAAATACAAAGGGGCGTATTAGATACACTTTTTTTTAACTTTGTTCTTTTCACTTAAGAGTATATTTTGGGGTCTTTTTTCTGATGAGTACATATACTACATGGGTTGGAGGTAGATTTAGAAAGCAGGAAAAGCTTGCTCCCAAATGATCCTGAACTTTGCTTCAGATCAAGCAGCTCCTTGCTTCGGGCTGCTTTCTGCAGACAATGTGGCCCCCGGCCACTTGAAGCTGTCTTGCTCAGGGAGACATCCTGCCACATGACACATAGGGAGCAAACCTCCCTGCAAGATTTCACTGAAGGGATTGGTGTCCCCTGTTCTTACTGAATTCCCCACGTCTTGAATTTGTTCTCACAGTTTAATATGTGAGATACAAGCGCCAGCCCCTCACCTGGCTACTCAATTCTTTTTTAGGTCTTGTAGGTGGGTGAAGTATTTTCTGGGCAGTGTGGACGTCATCTCAGAGAGCTGCATTTCTGATTCCTGGAGAGAGGCTGGCAGGGGCTGTGTTTAAGGGATTAATGCCCCACGGTGCTGATACTGGCTTCAGTATTTCTCAGGTCTTGGGGAGCTCTTTTCCTGAAGAGGTCTGGAATGCAGTGTTAAAATGAAATGACACAGGGGCCGGCCCCGTGGTGTAGCGGTTAAGTGCGCGCGCTCTGCTGCTGGCGGCCCGGGTTCGGATCCCGGACGCGCACCGACGCACCGCTTCTCCGGCCATGCTGTGGTGACGTCCCACGTAAAGTGGAGGAAGACGGTCACAGATGTTAGCCCAGGGCCAGTCTTCCTCAGCAAAAAGAGGAGGATTGGCATGGATGTTAGCTCAGGGCTGATCTTCCTCACACACACACAAAAAAAAAAAAAAAAAAGAAAAAGAAACGACACACCCAAAATGGAGTCACTTATGCTAGGCTGCACCTAGATTTAATACCTAAGGGAACTGCAGTTTCAGCCTCTCTCTGGAGTGGAATTTTAAACCAATCAATCTGGAATTTCCTGGTTAGCTCTGGTGGGGTAATCTGCCTGATAAGACTCCCTGCCTTCCCCCAAGGGAATGTAAACTTGCTTGAAATAATCCGTTCGTTTAACTTCCTTGTCCCACCCTCTTTTTGCCTATAAAAACCTTCTATTTTGTACAACTCCTTGTATTTGTTAGATAGGATGCTGTGGGTTTCATGAATCATTGAATAAAGCCAATTAGGTCTTTAACTTTACTCAGTTCATTTTTGCAGGAAGTGGAATGGGACACAGCCTTTATTGTTAAAAGACTGCTTAAATGACTTTGGGGACAGCCCTCAGGTCTATCTATAATCACCTTGTAGAGTGCTATCTCCTTCCTTCCCTTTCCCCTTGCTCTCTGCCTGCTGACCTTGTTCATTTTCTTTTGATGAACTTTCTAATTCTAGTGGTCCATTTTTGCTGCCCCAAAGCAGCTTGAGTCAAATCAGATCATCTTCTTCATTTGATTTAAATGTTCCAAAGAAAAATATCATGGCAGGTATTTCTTAAAATTTCCTCAGATCAAATTGCTTACAAGAGGGCCAGCCCTGTGGCTTAGCGGTTAAGTGCATGCGCTCCGCTGCTGGCGGCCCGGGTTCGGATCCCAGGCGCGCACCTACACACCGCTTCTCCGGCCATGCTGAGGCCGCGTCCCACATACAGCAACTAGAAGGATGTGCAACTGTGACATACAACTATCTACTGGGGCTTTGGGGAAAAAAGGAGGAGGATTGGCAGTAGATATTAGCTCAGAGCCGGTCGTCCTCAGCAACAAGAGGAGGATTAGCATGGATGTTAGCTCAGGACTGATCTTCCTCACACACACACACAAAAAATTGCTTACAAGATTTTGCCAACTGAATAAAGAAAAAAACGAGGGCTGGCCTGGCGGCATAGTAGTTAAGTTCGGCATGCTCCCTTTTGGCGGCCTGGGGTTTGCAGGTTTGGATCCTGGGTGTGGACCAATGCACCGCTTGTCAAGCCATGCTGTGGTGGCGTCTCATATAAAGTAGAAGAAGATGGGCACAGATGTTAGCCTAGGGCCAATCTTCCTCAGCAAAAAAAAAAAAAAAAAGGAGGATTGGCATCGGATATTAGCTCAGGGCTAATCTTCCTCACAAAAAAAAGAAAGAAAGAAAAAAAACCAGTTAGATATACTGAGCCCTTGTTCTCAGAGAAGCACCATTGCCAGGGGCTTTCAGAGGTTTGTTATCTCATTTGATCTTTTTTAAAAATAACAGCTTTTTTGAAATATAATTCACATACTATACAATTCACCTACTTAAAGTACCCAATTCAATGGTTTTTAGTATATTCACACAACTGTGCAACCATCACCCCAATCAATTTTAAAACATTTTCATCAGTCACCCCCAAAAGAAACCCCATACCTATTGGCAGTCACTTACCATTTTCTCTCAATTCCTTCTGCCCAAGGCGTCCACTAATCTACTTTCTGTCTCTGTGGGTTTGCCTATTCTGGACATTTCATATAAATGGACTCATACAATATGTGGTCTTTTGTTGACTAGCTTCTTTCACTTAGCATAATATTTTTAAGATTCATCCAAGTTGTAGCATGTATTTTTATAGCCGAATATTTCATTGTATGAATATGCCACATTTTGTTTATCCCTTAATCAGTTGATGGACATCTGGTTTGTTTCCACTTTATTGGCTATTATGAAAACTGCTGCTATACACATGTGAGTGCAAGTTTGCCTGTGGACCTCATTTGATCTTTACAGTGACTCTCTAACATACAAATTCTACAGACCTCATTCCATAGATGACAAAACTCGTTCCAAGACGGTAGACAAGAATTTTGAATACAGCTGTTAGATTCCTGAGCCCATACTTTTTCCAATCTATGCTCATAGAGTTGAAATAATTGCTTTGACAGAACCTGGTGTGAGTATGCCTGTAGGAAGGAACTGTGAACGTGAACCTTTAACTTTCAGTTGGGAAATTTCAGCCTTCTCCCCAACGTCTCCCTTCCCTCTTTGCTCTTTTCTTCTTTCCCAGTTTTCACTTCTTTCTTTCAGGTGTCACTTCCCCTCCTCTGTAGTCGGGACAGAATTTACTCTTACTTATTTATACTTTTGTATGGAACGGGATATTGTCCGAATTTGATATTTGCATTTGCGAGTTATCTCCAATGAGATGAAAGCTCCTCTGCCAGCAGCGGACAAGCAGAGGAGGGATTTCTTGGAAAAGCTCGTTTTCTTGTCGTGTCCCAAGGTTTCACGCATGAAGGCCACCCACGTGGAGGGTTGGGGCGTGTGAACAGATATCTGGGCGCGGCTCCCCTCCAGCTAGGCCGCGCGCCGTTGCTCCAGCATCAACCCACCAGGCAGGTGGCGGCCCGGGAGTCCCCGCGGGGAGAGCGCGCACGCTGGAACGCGGGGACAACCCCCCGGCCGCGACGTCAGGTCCACCCGCGACCCTCAGCCCCTGTTGGACCCGGCGCAACTCCGAGCCCCGCCTCCCTCAGTGGGTAGCCCGTGGGACCCACCAATCAGAGAGGCCGACACATCGGCCGCGCCGGGCGCCCGGCAGCCAATCGCCGCACGCGTGTGATCCCGCGGCCGCCGGGGAGGCCGGCAAGCCGGCGCTGAAGCGGCGACGGCGGGAGTCGCTGTTGAGGCGGCCGCGCGCGCGGGGAGCGTCGGCGCTGCTCCGCGGGGCCGAGCCAGACTGGCCGCTGCTGGCGCCTGGCGGTGAGGGCGGACTCCCGGGGCGGGCGGAATGGCCCCCACCTAGTGCGGTGGGAGAAGCGGCTGAGCCCAGGATGCTGGGGAGGCGGCGCGGCGGCTCGTCTCTCACGCCAGGTAAGGGGGACGCCGCGCTCGCTGCAGCTCTGCTCGGAGCGCCGCCCCGGCCCCGCTGCCCTCCGCCGCCGCCCACCTGGCTCCCAGCCCCGGCCGGCGCTGTCCTGGCGCCCCTTGAGCCCACCTCGCCTTGTCGCCGCGCGTCTCCGGGTCTGCCCCGGGCAGTTGTCCGGCCCCGCCCTCCCAGCACGGCGCCGCACGTTCTGGCTCGCCCGGCTCCTGCACCCGCACTCCTTCCCCCAGCGCCAGCAGTGCTCGGTCTCCGGCGTCGCCGTCGCCCGGCTCGCCCCGGCCGTGGTCGGCCTCCCGCCCCCTCCCCTCCCTTCCTTCCCCTCCTTTTTCGCGGCGCTGGCACCGCGTCCCAGCCCCCGCAGTCTTTCGGGGCTCCTTCCGGGGATGAGACCCCCATCCCGCCGGTATGGGATTTTTGCCCTCCCCTCTAGCCGGGCTTCGCTTCCGCAGGCTCACTCCCATCCCTGCCCCTTGTACCTACCGTGTCTTCTCTACGTTTCAGTCGCGCTTCCCCCTCCCCCCATGTGCTCCTGGGTCTTGCCCTTTTGCTCCCAAATGCTTTCCTTTCCCATCTCACCTCTTCTCTCCTCACTTTGATCAACCACCGTCGATAACACTGATTCCTTTACACTTAAACCTTCAGACTTGAATACTCTCCTGAATGCCAGATCTATAGTTTTGACATCTTAATTCGTCTTTAAGTGAGCTGCACCCATAATATGTAAAATGCCTTGCCCAGAGTCTGGCACACAGTAGGCCCGGCACATGGTGGATGTCACGTGTGTTAGCCTCTTTCTCCTTTTAGGCCTTTGTACTCTCCAGATGGTGGAGGCAAGAGGTCCAGTATCCCAAGGGATTTGCCCCACTACTTGAAGAGTGGTATGGGAGGTGGCGGGACGAATTAGTGAACTCCGAAATCAAATTGTCAGTTATTTACTCACTGCATTTATTCAGAAGAACTGAATTCTGCTATCTCTGTGCCCTGTATTGTTTTATATTAATTGGCTTTATAAAGGATTCTTAGCGAGCTCTGCAATATAGTTACCCCCTTGTTTCTGCTGCTCCATCTACAGCGTTTACTGGACCTTTCTTTTTAGGGAAGAAAGAGTCCCTACCTCCTAGCTGAAATAGCATTGTATGTAAGAAGTGTTTCAGGTGTTTACCTCTCAGCTGGATAGTCCAGTCCTGCAGTGAATTTTTATCCTTTAAGAGCATGGAGGAATCAGCTTTAGATTTCTTGGAATCAACTGCTGAAGGGATCAGAAATGCTTAGAAATGAAAGTACTGACAAGTTCTCTAGGAGTGAAAGAGGAGATAGCTACAGTCAATTTTAAGAGTAAAATGAATTTGACTTTTTAAAATTATAAAAGCAGTGTTACTGCCCCTAGGCCATTCTTGCCACATTTGCTCTAATGGTCTCCAAGCCTGGATCAGTCAAACAGTTGGCTTTTTCTGCTCCGGGGATCTCCAGAGCAGGTTGGAGGAAACCATGTTACTGAGCTGCTGGGGCTGTTCTAAACTTCTGGATTCCAACTTGACTCACACTTCTTGGAGATGCTTTGACCTACCCCCTATGTTCCTCTTATGTACTGAAACCTAAATGGCTGTTCAGTTTTTTACCGTTCTCCTCTCTTTGTCCTATTCTTGACTTCATTGTTTATTTTGCCTTCTCCTTCACAGAAGAAATTGGTGGGCATCAACCCTGAATTCTTAAGGGTCTGTCACTTTTGTGTGTGCTTGTACTTATCTGATTTCTGATCTTTCCTTTCATCAGAGGAAGAGGGGTCCTCCTTTCTAAGGCTAACATGTTTGATCTTTCCTTATATTCTCATTTTTTTCTCAGCCAGCATACATGCTTGGGTGCCCACCATCCAAAACAAACAAAAACCTTCCTTTGATGCTTCCCTTTTTTCTTTCTCAGATTAACAGGGTATTCCTTAGGGTTTCACTTTTTGTTCTTTTCTCTGTTCCTCTTTAAGTTCCTTGTGTGATTACACTTCCTTTTATGGCTTCAATAGCACCTGTATATTTATGGTTTTCAAAGATGTATATTCGGTACCCATTTTTCTTGATCTTCAAGTGTTCTTTATTTTCTTCTGTCTCTTGGATAACTATACTTGGATACTTGGTTCTTCAAACTTGGTTATCTTTTCCTTTCCCTTCCCTCTACTCATAGCCCCCTCAAGCACACACACATGCACTCCTCCTATTTTAAGATCCTCACTCTAGAGGCTTTAGAATCCTCTTCTCTCTCACGTTAAGTCTATCATAGATGCTCTTGTTCCTATCGGAAATCTTTTTCTTTCTTTCCTCATTGCCGGAAGATTGCTTGAGGCCTGAGTTATGTTTTTCCTGAACAGAGTCAGTCATTTTCAACCCAGGCACTACTTTACAACCACCTGGGGAGCTTTTAAAGGGTAAGGATGAGGGGATCAAGAAATCCGCAGAGATTCTGATTCAGTTGGTCTGGTGTGGGTCCAGACCTTGTCATTTAAAAAATGCTTCCCTTCTGACAGTAATATGCAGCTAGGGCTGAGAACTGGGCTGAGAGCTTGAAGAGGGAGTGATAGAACCCTGAGGAACTTCAGTATTTAACATCCTTTAAAAATCATGATAGGGCGGTCCCCGTGGCTTAGCGGTTAAGTGCGCATGCTCCGCTGCTGGCGGCCCGGGTTCGGATCCCGGGCGCTCACCAATGCACCGCTTCTCCGGCCATGCTGAGGCCGCATCCCACATAGAGCAACTAGAAGGATGTACAGCTATGCCATACAACTATCTACGGGGGCTTTGGGGGAAAAAATAAATAAATAAATAAAATTATAAAAAAAAAATCGTGATAAATATCACTTTTGTTGGCATGGTTAGTTGCTTACTTTCCTGGTAATTTGTACATGTACCTATTAAAGTACTTACCACATTTTATTTAGATTATTTCTCATGGGCCCATTTTTCTCATGACTAGGAGTTCCTTGAAGTCTGGGACTATGCCTAAAAGGTAAACTACTGTTTGTTCTGCACTACTTACAACCCTTCTGACACCACATATGTGGGTTTTCCCCTCACATTAAGCAATTCTCCAACTCTCTGGACACTAACTGTGTGTCCTACAATTTAACTTAATTATGACACTAACTACCTGGAGTTAGCGCAGACCCCACGGATTAAGGACTCAGTCCCACAACACTGCCGCCCACTTCAGAGGCAGTTGCAAGTCCCAGGATGTGACCTGTACTTCTGACCAACTGGCTATAAATTGGGGCTTTCCACAACCCCCTCCTCAGGTTGATAATTTGTGAGAATGGCTCAGAGAGCTGAGGAAAGCTCGTTACCCGTTTATAAAGGATATAACCTCAGGAACAGCCAGATGGAAGAGAGGCGTACGGCAAGGTATGTGGGAAGGGTCATGGAGCTTCCATGAGCTTCCATGCCTTCCCTGGGTGCGCCATCCTCCCAGCACCTTCATGTGTTCACCGACCCAGAAGCTCTCTGAACCTTCACCTAGAGTTTTTTGGAGGCCTCATTACGTAGGCATAATTGATTAAATCATTGGGTCGCCAGTGATTAACTGAATCTGTAGACCCTTTTCCCTTCCCAGAGGTCAGGGGTTAGTTCCTCTGGCAGCCAGCTCCCATCCTTCAAGATAGGGTTGAAAGGAGCTTGTGAATAACAAAAGACACTCCTCTTACCCCCGGCAAGAAATTGCAAGGGTTTTAGGAGCTCTGTACCAGGAACCAGGGACAAAGACCTAATATATATTCTATACTACTTGTTGTTATATCACGATATTACAATGCCTTATTTATCTTTTCATCACTGCCTTGTACACTACTTGGTATATTTTAGAAACTTGATAAAAATTGGTTGAATGAATCAGTTGGAAAATAATGTAAAACAGATCTTGAATTTATGGTTTTGCAAGCTGACCAGCTGTTTCTTTCTTGGCTGCTTAACAGGTCACTAGTCATACTTGCACAGTCATTCTTATTTTAAACACATACGCACATATTCTCTTCATAACGTAGAGTGGATTAAGATAAATATTATTTGCTCTTATGGTTTGGCTTTTAACGTGGTTAAGCTATGACAGTGTTATAGAGGTTCATTCAGCCTTCCTCTTTAGCAGATGCTGTTTAAAATAGACTTTATTTCAGATGGTTGAGGCACATATATCCTTCACCTTTTTTGAAAAAATTGCTCTGATTTAAGTCTCATAAGCTTTGGAATTTTTAACTAGAACAAAAACTTTCAAATTGATAAAAGATCTTGAACAGTGGCAGAACTATTTTTTTTTTTTTTGGTGAGAAAGATGGGCTCTGAGCTAACATCTGTTGCCAATCTTTACTTTTTTTGCTGAGGCAGATTGGCCTTAAGCTAACATCTGTGCCCATCTTCCTCTGTTTTCTATGTGGGACGCTGCCACAGCATGGCTTGATTAGTGTGGAAGTCTGCACCTGGGATCTGAACCTCCGAACCTTGGACCGCTGAAGCGGAGTGTGCGAACTTAACCACTAGGCCACTGGGCGGGCCCAGAACAATTTCTTTTTAACTAAGAGAATTAAGGAAGTAGGGAATATGCATTATGCCTTCTACCTATATGAATCTCATTGGCGTTGGTGATAGTGAGGGGGAACAATCTGTAATTCCCAAATAGTTATAGGAAAAACCTGTATTGCTTGTATATTGATATCAGCATATTTTGTAATTCTTCAGAGCTAAGATATAAACTATAAGTTGTTGGTTGTCTTTTGTTCTTTAGTTTTCTTAAGATTTTTGTCAGCTCTTTCTCTTTATAGAACTTGCTATTGACAGTTCTTTACTTTCAGCATTTGAAAAATGCTTCTTTCAGACCTCCATGATTCAGATGAGAAACCCTCTCTCGTTGGAATTCGTGTTTCCCTGTAGGTAATGTGTCCTTTCTTCCTGGCTGCTTTAAAGGTTTTTTCTTTGTGTTTAGTTTTCAGAAGTTTAATTATGATATGTCTTGGCATGGATTTCTTTGGGTTTATCCGTTAGCTTCTTGAACGGTAAGTTAATGTCTTTTGCCAAATTTGGGATGTTTTCAGCCATTTCTTAGAATAATTTTTCAGTGCCACTCTTTCTCCTTTCTTTCTGTGACTCTGATGATACAAAGTTAGATATTTTATCATCCCACAGAGCATGAGGCATTATTATTTTTTTTCAAGACTATTTTTTTTCTCTGTTGTTCAGATTGGGTACTTCCTGTTGTTCTACTTCCAGTTTAAGGTTCACTCATTCTTTCTTCTGTCATATTTATTCTGCTTTTGAGCCTGCGCAGTGATTTTTGTTTTGGTTATTATCAGTTCAATAATTTCCATTTGGTTCTTTTCTATACCTTCTGTTTCTGTGGTGAGATTTTCTGTTTTATCATTTGTTTCAAGAGTATGTTTCTGTACTCATTAAAGCAAGATGGCTGCTTTAAAATCCTTATCAGATAATTCCAACATCTGGCTCATCTTGGTTTTAGCATATGTTCATTGTCTTTATTCATTTAAATTGTCATTTTCCTGGGTCTTGGTATGATGAGTGACTTGATTGTATCCTGGACATTTTTGATATTTTGTTAGGAGACTCTGGATCCTATTTAAACCTTCTATTATGAAATCTTTTAGTAGGCAGTCACCCTAAAAGGTTTAGTGTGTACGTCCCAGCCAATTTTTTTTTTTTTCTGGTAATAGTTTTAATTCACATATCGTACAGTCACCCATTTAAGGTGTAAAAATTTTTAGTATATTTACAAAGTTGTGCGTCCATTACTATAAGCAATTTTAGAACATTTTCATTTCTCTGCAGAGAAGCTGCATGCTCCTTACCTGTCACCCCCAACTCTTCCACTCATCATCTCCTCCATCCCTAGGCGACTACTAATCTATTTTATGTCTCCGTAGATTTGCCTGTTCTGGACATTTCATATAAATGTAATCATACGATATGCAGTCCTTTGTTACTGGTTTCTTTCACTCAGCATAATGTTTTCAAGGTTCTTCTGGTTTGTAGAATGTATCAGTATTTTGTTTCTTTTTATTGCCAAATAATATTCAGTTTTGTGGATATACCACATTTTATTTATCCATTAATCAATTGATGGGTATTTGGATTGTTTCTACTTTTTGGCTCTTGTGAATAATGCTGCTGTGAGCATTTGTGTACAAGTTTTTATGTGGACATGTTTTCATTTTTGGGGGTTATATACCTACGAGTGGAATTACTAGGTCATAGAACTCTAGGTCTAACATTTTTGAGGAACTGCCAGACTGTTTCCCAAAGTGGCAGCTCCATTTTACATTTCTACCACCAATGTTTGAGGGGTCCAATTTCTCCACATCCTTACCAACACTTGTTATTGTCTGACTTTTTGATTCTAGCCATCCTAATGGGCGTGAAGTAGTATCTTATTGTGGTTTTGGTTGCATTTCCCTGATGTCCAGTGATGTTGAGCATCTTTTCCTGTGCTTTTTGGCTGTTTGTGTATCTTTGGAGAAATCTCTATTCTTTTGCCCACTTTTAAATTGAGTTATTTGTCTTTCTATTGTTGAGTTGTAAGATTTCTTTATATATTCTGGATACTAGACCCTTATCAGATATATGATTTGCAGATATAAATCTCCCATTCTTTGCGTGTCTTTTCACTTTCTTGATGGTGTCCTTTGAAGCACAAAGGTTTTTAATTTTGAGAAAGTCCAGTTTATCTATTTTGTTGTTGTTGTTGCTTGTGCTTTAGGTTTTGTATTTAAGAAACCATTGCCTGATCCAAGGTCATGAAGACTTACTCCTGTGTTTTCTTCCAAGAATTTTATAGTTTCAGCTCTTACATTTAGAGCTGATATAGGGGTCCAACTTCATTTTTTTGCTTATAGATATTCAGTTGTCTCAGCACCATGTATTCAAAAAAATATTCTTTCCCCCTTTGAATTGTCTTGGCACTCTTGTCCAGTTGGAATTTTGATAGGGATTGCATTGAACCCATAGCTCAATCAGGCAAATATTGCCATCTTAACAGTATTAGTTTTCCAATCCATGAACATGAAATGTCTTTTAATTTATTTAGATCTTCTTTGATTTCTTTCAATGTTTTCTAGTATTCAGCATACAAGCCTTGCATTTTTTTTTTGTTAAATTTATTCCGTAATATTTTATTCTTTTGATGCTATCATAAATGGAATTGCTTTCTTAATTTTGTTTTTGGATTGTTATTGCTATATAGAAATATAGTTGTATTTAAAAATAGTATATATATAGAAATTCAAATAGTATATAGAAATACAACTGAGGGGCCAGCCCTGGGGCCTAGCGATTAAGTTCGGCACACTCTGCATCAGTGGCCTGGGTTCCGTTCCCAGGCACGGAGCTACACCACTTGGTGGTGGCCATGCTGTGATGGTGACCCACACACAAAATAGAGGAAGACTGGAACAGATGTTAGATTTAGCTCGGGGCAAATCTTCCTCAAGCAAAAAAAAAAAAAAGAAATACAATTGAATTCTATATATTAGTCTTATATCTTGCAACCATACCAAACTCATTAAATAGTTCTCATAGTGTTTTAGTGATTTATTAGGATTTTATATATACATGATATATCATCTCTGAAGAGAGAGAGTCTTTCTTCTTCCTTCCAATCTGGATGCCTTTTAATTTATTTTTCTTGCCTAATTGCCCTGGCTAGAACCTTTTGTACAATATTGAATAGAAGTGGTGAAAGTGGACATCCTGTCTTGTTCCTGATCTTAGGGAGAATGATTAAGTATGAAGTTAGCTGTGGGTTTTCTTAGATGTCCTTTTTCAGACTGATGATGTTCTCTTCTATTTCTAGTTTATTCATTGTGTTTATCATAACACAGGGTTATAATAACACAGGAAGGGGTGTTGGATTTTGTCAAATGCTTTTTCAGTGCCTATTGAGATGATCATGTGGTTTTTGTCATTTTTCTATTAATATGGTGTGTGGCATTAATTGATTTTCCTTTATTGAAACAACCTTGTGTGCCTCGGATAAATCACTCTTGGTCAAGGTGTGTGATTCTTTATATATGTTGCTGAATTTCCATTTGCTGGTATTTTGTTGAGGATTTTTGCATTTATATAAATAAGTATTTGTAGTTTTGTTTTCTTGTAGTGTCTTTGTCTGGTTTGGGAATCAAGGAAAACTGATCTCTTAGCATGAGGTGGGAAGTTTCCTATCTTTTCTATATTTTGGAAAAGTTTGTTAAGGATTGATGTTCATTCTTAATGTTCAGTAGAAATAACAAGTGAAGCTGTTTGGTCCTGAGCTTTTCTTTGTGGGAAGTTTTTGATTACTAATTCCATCTCTTATAGCTTTCATATTATTTCTTTGAGTTGATTTTGGTAGTTTGTGTCTTCTAGGAATTTGTCCATTTCATCTAGGTTATGTAATTTATTAGATTACAATTGCTTATAGTATTCCTTGTACAAGCATACCTCGTTTTATTGTGCTTCACGTTGTTGTGCTTCACAGATATTGCACAAGACCCTCCACCAGCAAGAGGATTATGACTTGCTAAAGGCTCAGACAATGGTTAGCATTTTTTAGCAATAAAGTATTTTTTAATAAAGGTATGTACGTTGTTCTTTTAGACATAATGCTATTGCACACTAGTATACTACAGTATAGTGTAAACATAACTTCTGTATGCACTGAAAAACCAAAAGATTCGTGTGTCTTGCTTTATTGCGGTCTTCGTTTTATTGCCGTGGTCTGGAACTGAACTGGCAACTATCTCCAAGGTATGCCTGCAATTCTTTATAATTATTTTTATTTATGTAAGGTTGGTAGTAAGTACTGATTTTAGTAATTTGAGTCTTCTCTCTTTTGTTCTTGCTCAATCTAGCTAAATGATTGTCAATTCTGTTGATCTTTTCAAAGAACCAACTTTTGTGTTGTTGATTTTCTCTATTCTAATCTTTATTGTATTTATTTCTCTGTAGTCTCATTATTTCCTTCTGTCTGCTGGCTTTGGGTTTAGTTTGCTCTTCTCTTTCTAGTTTCCTAAGGTGGACAGTTCAGTTGTTGATTGAGATTTTTAAAATTTTTTAAATTTTTATATTTTTAATTGAGATGTAATTGACATATAACATTGTGTAAGCATACAACATGTTGATTTGAGGTCTTTTTTTAAAAATTTATGCATCTTAATATGGGGATTCTTAAAGGAAATTTATTTATTTATTTATTTATTTTTTTGGTGAGGAAGATTAGCCCTGAGCTAACATCTGTTGCCAATCCTCCTCTTTTTGCTGAGGAACATTGGCCCTGGGCTAACATTCATGCCCATCTTCCTCTACTTTATATGTGGGATGCCTGCCACAGCATGGCTTGATAAGTGGTGCATAGGTCCGTGCCTGGTATCAGAACTTGTGAACCTTGGGCTGCCGAAGTGCAGCATGCAAATGTAACCACTACACCACTGGGCCAACCCGGAGATCTTTTTAGTATAGGTGTTTACAGCTATAAATTTCCCCTATAACGTGACTCTTGCTGCTTTTGCTACATCCCGTAAGTTTTGTATTATTATCTCAAAGTATTTTCTAACTTCTCTTGTGATTTCTTTCTTGGCTCGTTGGTTATTTAGGAGAGTAGTGTTTAATTTTCACGTATTTGTGAATTTCCCAAACTTTTTTCTGTTACTGTTTTCTAATTTTATCCCGTTGTGCTTGGAGAATATACTTTGTATGATTTCAGTCTTTTACATTTATTGAGACTTGTTTTATGGCCTATTCTAGAGAATGTTCCATTTGCACTTGAAAATGGTATATATTCTGCTGTTGTTGCCTGGACTGTTTTATAGATGTTTGCTAGGTCTAGTTGGTTTGTAGTGTTGTTCAAGTCTTCTGTGGTTTTTTTTTGCTGATCTTGTGTCTAGTGGTTTTATCCGTTAATGAAAGTAGAGTATTGAAGTTTCGTTCCAACTATTACTGTTGAATTGTCTATTTCTCCCTTTAATTCTGTCAGCTTTTGCTTATTGTGTTTGGGGGTTCTGTTAGCTGCGTATGTTTGTAGTTGTTATATCTTCTGGATGGATTTGCCCTCTTATATGTATAAAATGTCCTTTGTCTCTAGTAACAATTTTTATCTTAAAGTTTACTGTATCTGTTGTTAGTATAGCTATTCTAGAGTCTTGGTTACTGTGTGCATGGTGTATCTATTTCCCTCCTTTTGCTTTCAGCCCATTTGGTCTTTCAATCTAAAGTGTGTCTTGTAGAAAGCATCTGTTTGAATGAGTTTTTTGTTTGGGTCCGTTCTGCCAATCCTCGCCTCTTGAGAGTTTAATCTATTTATCTGTTTACATTTAATGTAATTACCAGTACATTAGGATTTATGTTTGCCATTTTGCTATTTGTTTTCTATGTGTCTTATGTCTTTTTAGTTTCTCTACTCTTCCATTACTGCCTTTGTATTAAATATTTATATTAAATATTTTTCAGTTAATATTTTAATTAGCTTGTTATTTCTTTTGTCATAACTTTTCTTTATTTTCCTGGTGATTGCAATTAATATCTCAAAACAGTCTACTTGGGATTTATACTGACTTAATTTCAGTACTATGCTAAAACTTTGCTTTAATAAAGTTCTGTTCGTTTCCCTTTGTCCTCTTATTGTCATTCAAATTACATATTTTACATTAAAAGCCCATTAACAGTTTTATAATTATTGCTTTATGCAGTTGTCTTTTAATTCAAATAGGAAAAGGAAAGAGTTACAAACAAAAATATGTTTCTACTATTGTTTATATTTGTGTAGTTATCTTTATTGGTGCTGTTTATTTCTTCATGCAGATTTGGGTTACTGGCAAGTGTGTTTTCCTGTCAGTATTAAGGACTCCCTTTATTTTTTGTACAGCAGCTGTTCCCTTGATGAATTCTCTCAGTTATGTTTATTGGGGATGTCTTAATTCTTCTTCATTTTTGAAGGGTAGTTTTACTGTATACAGAATTCTTGATTGATAGTCCTTTTCTTTTAGCACTGTGAATATGTTATCCCACTGCCTCTGGCCTCTGGTTTTTGGTGAGAAGTCAGCTGTTTATCTTCCTGAGGATTTTGTATGTGATGAGTCATTTTTCTCTTGGTGCCTTCAAGATCCTCTGTCTTTGACGTCTGACAATTTGATTATAATGTGTCTAGGTGCACATCTCTTTGAGTTAATCATATGTGGTGTTTATCTAATTCCTTGAATGTTTAGGTTAATGTTTTTCATTGAATTTAGGATGTTTTCAGCCATTTATATGTATAAATTTGATTTTTTCCTCTTTATATCTCCTTTTGGGACTTCTATTATGCGTCTTTATTTTGGTATGCTTGATGATATCCCACATTTCTGAGGCTGAGTTCATTCTTTTTCATTCTTATTCCCCCCCCCCCCCCCGTTTTTCTGACTGGAAAATTGATCTGTCTTTAAGTTTGCTGATTCTTCTGCTAGCTTAAATTTGCTGTTGAACTCTTCTAGTGAATTTTTTGTTTCAATTATTCTACTTTTCAACTCTAGAATTTCTATATGATTCTTTCTTTCTTTTTAATAATTTTTATCTCATTGATATTCCTGATTTAGTGAGAAATCATTCTCATAATTTCCGTTAGTTCTTTAGACATGGTCTCCTTTAGTTCTTTGAACATATTTACAATAGCTGATTTAAAGTCTTTGTCTAGTAAGTCCAACATCTCTGGGCTCCCTCAGGGATAGTTTCTATTGACTGCCTTTTTACTCCTGTGTTATAGGCCATACTTTCTTGTTTCTTTATGTCTCAAAGTTTTTTGTTGAAAAATGGACATTTTAAATACAGTCACGCACCACAGAACAACATTTCAGGCAACAATGGACCACATATATGATGGTGGTCCCGTAAGATTAGTACTATATAGCCTAGGTATGTAGTAGGCTATACTGTCTAGATTTGTGTAAGTACACTCTGATGTTTGCACAATGACTAAATCACTAAATGATGCATTTCTCATACTGTATCCCTGTTGTTAAATGAGACATGACTATAATATTATGTGGCTACTCTGGAAATCAAACTCCTCTCTCCTAGGGTTTGTTGTTGTTGCTATTTGTTTTGTTACTTTTTGGGACTAATTCTGTAAAGTCTGTATTTGTCCTGTGTAACCACTGAAGTCTCTGCTTGGTTAGCTTAGTGGTCAGCTAATGATTGGACAGAGTTCATTAAATGCTTAGAACTGTTAAATGTCTTGCTGAGGAGCTCTAGGGGGGTGTGTGTGTGTGTGTGTGTGTGTGTGTGTGTGTGTTGTGGCTCCTTTCATGCACCAGCAGTTTACACTGTGCCTTAGCCTTCACTTCCTGCTTGTATAGAACATCAAGGTCAGGCAGAGGTGAGAGATTAGAGCCTCCTCAGGTCTTTCGTGGGCATGTGCATGCCTTCTAGGTTCCCAAGAATATATTGGAGCTGTTTTTAAACTCCCTCTGTGTACATCTCATTCCTCAGTTTTTCCTTTTAAGCTTTTTGATCAATGTCTTGTTAGCCCCAACTGTTATTGCCACTGCAGACAGCTGTGACATTAAACAATTATCTCCGATTATTTTTAACAAACACCTTGGGGATAGGATTATTCACACTGAGGGTGCTCTCATTCAGGTCCAGTAAAGATAAGCCCTGAGAATGCAGATTTTCCATTGAGCTGCTAGACAGGTTAAGTGGTGACAGTTCTTTGGAGTTATGGTTTTTGGGGGGCCTCCTAACCTCTTATGCCCCCTTAAGTGTCTGTTGGGCTGCTGTTGTTCACAGTTTCCATGTTTGTAGGTTGTTGGTTTCCAGGGCTTCCATGGAGCTGGGGAGAGGGGAGTAGGGCAAATTAAAATTGTATAAAGCCTACTCTGCTTACTGAAAGTCAGCTGTTTTTCTTGAATAAACGTTTCTTGGACTGTTGCAAGCCTTTGGTTAATTTTCAGTTTTCTGAAAAAGTTGATTTTGACCATTTTTGCCAGTGTTCTCATTAACTTTTATGGAGGATCAGACTTTTGGAGGTCCTTACTCTGCCATGCTGGATTTGCTTCCTCCAGTCTTTTTTTACATTTATGTGGTAAAAGGGGTTCATGCATCATGTTTTAGCAGATTTGTTTAGGTCACTGACAACTCTGAGATTATACAGTTCTGTTTTTTCAATTTTGTTTACTATTATTTTCCTACACTCTGGCTAAGCTAATTAGTTAATATTTTCTGAATATGTGCTGTCCTCTCTTCACTTTTGAGTCTTCTCGTTTTCTTATTTTCTCTGCTGAAAACACTCTTCCCTCACTCCCACAATAGGAGTCCTTCTTATCTTCTAAGTTTCATTGTGATGCAATTTTCTTCATGTATCATTATTTTTTGCTGAGGAAGATTCGCCCTGATCTAACATCTGTTGCCAGTCTTCCTCTTTTTGCTTGAGAAAGATTAACCCTCAGCTAACATCTGTACCAATCTTCCTCTATTTTATATGTGGGTTGCCACCACGGCGTGGCTACCGACAAGTGCTGTAGGTCCGTGCCTGGGAACCAAACCTGAGCCACCAAAACAGAGTGCGCCGAACTTAACCATCAGGCCACAGGACTGGCCCTTCATATAGCCTTTTATGAGCCCATGGATGTGTGATCCTTTCTTGAAATTCTTGTACGTCTTTTTTCATACCTTTTGTATGATCTTCTTTTTTTTAATTTTATTTTTAATTTTATTTATTTATTTTT